CAAAAAAAAAAAAAAAAAAAAAAAAAAAAAAAGAAGACAAGAAGACTGTTTCCTATATTACTAAAGAATAAGGCATCCAATGTTCTTATTATAATATTTTTAGTGACCATGAAATCCTGAAACTATAAAAGTTTAAGAGAATGACTGTCAGGAAAATGAAGAAAAAAAAAAAAAGTTTTTTTATCCAGTTGAAGAGTGTATTGAGCAATCTCTAAAGGGACAATGTGCTTGTAGAAGAAGGATGAAAGAATGATGCTGCTTCCTATTTATATAGAGCTTTAAGACTTAATAAGTAAATTCAGGCATTATATAGGTCACCTTGATAGTCACATGATCTGCCTCCAAATCACACTGCCAGTGAGTCCACTAATATGGTCAGCACTCTACAGTTAAGTGAAAGAAAGCAAAACTTCCTATATTCAAAGCAGATGATAAGAAGGCACTGAATAATTGAGGAATGGTAAGAATATTATTCTCAGTTGCTTTGAAAAGGTGTAGGTAAGTGATAATATCCTACAGTAAGTATTTCTATTTGAAGACAGTATGAACAGGTTGGTAAGTTTGTAGAGCAGTCAGATACAGCCAATGTCATGATCATCCTTGACTTCTCCTTTGCCTCAATTCTTTTGCTTTTAGGCAGTCTAAAGGTTGGATGACAAAGGTGTATGTATGTGAATCTGCATCAGGAAAACGTAACTAGACTTTCCTATAACTATTTCCTGGTAACTAAAGGATATATTTAAGAAAACTACATGAAGAAAAACACCTATGCAACTTGGTATTTAGAAAGTTCCTTTTAAATATAAACACAAAGAGAAAAGTAATCTCATTAACTAAATACATATAAACTAGTAAAGTAATAGAATAAAGAAATCTTACTCGGCCAGGCATGGTGGCTCATGCCTGTAATCCCAGCACTTTGGGAGGCAGAGGCACGTGGATCACAAGGTCAGGAGTTCAAGACCAACCTGGTCAAGATGGTGAAACCCTGTCTCTACTAAAAACACAAAAATTAGCTGGGCATGGTGGCGGGTGCCTGCAATCCCAGATACTCAGGAGGCTCAGGCAGAGAATTATTTCACCCTGGGAGGTGAAGGTTGCAGTGAGCTGAGATCACGCCACTGCACTGCGGCGCGGGTGACAAAGCAAGACTCTGTCTCAAAAAAAAAAAAGAAAGAAAAAGAAATCTTAGGCTCAGTTTTTAACTTCCTTGCCACTATAGAACACATCAGAAATAAAACAAAATCACAGCTATGTTGTGGGTCTGATCCTTATCCATAGTTTGAAATATTGTAATAGTCAGCTGGTTGCTGGGGACCACTGATTCAAGACCCCTATGGAAAAGACAGATACAGACAGGTCTCACTCTACGTAACCTCGCCTCAGGATAGGAGCCAGATATTCACTTTGTGAACAATGGCATGTATTCAGGAGAACACACACTTTGGATCTTGCAGT